CGGGTCAAATTGATCAATTAAAATACCCCGGCCGGCATCAACATAATTCCGACCCGCACTAACTCTAAAATTCTGCTAGGGATCAATTTGACCCGGGTCAAGTTTAACTTTGACCTAAAAACCAATTTGACCCGTAACATAAGTTATATAAGTTTGAAATCTAGCCCAAATAACTGGATTTAATAATGTTCATTGTATTTCCTGTATCCAAAAACAAATGTTCATTTGATTACTGTTCTCTTAAATTGGCTGTGTAAAAGACCGTATTTTGGGTTTTTTTTGCTATCTTCATTGGTTACTATGGTCAGGAACGTTTTTTTAGACCCATGCATTTCTAAATTTTGTTTTTAGAGCCATCAGTAACAACCTCTTTTACATTAGATTTTGGGTCACAAGCAGAAGAGAATTCTACGGAAACATTAACTAAAGATGCTATATTCTTAATTAATATTAAATCAAATTCCATCTTTAATTAATGTATTTGAAAGATTTAATTAAATCAATAAAAACTTACTAAATCAATAAATTTATCAATTACCAAAACACATCAAAAATTAATTTTGACCGATGCTTGATAATTGACCAAATCAATAATGGTTAAGAATGCCACTAAAATCAAATAAAAGTTAGGGTTATCGAAGAGGAACCTATTTCTGAAAACTCTATATAGGTGCATGGAAACCGTAAGTACTGGAGTCGTCGAAAATTAATCAACGAACTTAGAGGTAGAGCCGAATTTACAAAAAAGATATATAGATATCTTGAAGGCAAAGAACTAGTTCTGAGTATAAGTTGTGTTTTCTTAAAAGATAAAATATTAAATTACCGTATAAATGCGAAATAACGTTCACTTGCGCGTTATTTTGAGTACACCCATGTGTGATATTTCGAAATAAGAGTTGATTTTCAAATTAAAAGTGCTCCGAAACTAGGTTTAGCACTAAATAAACCGACTTCTTGACCTGAAGAACAACTTTTATTAAAAACCGAAAATAGGTTTAATTAATACTAAACCTAGTTCTGGAGCACTTTTTGGTTTTAATTTTTTATATAAAGAATAAAAGAAGATGCAAATTTAGTAAAGGCCTGTTTCAAACATGAAAGCGTCCTTCAAGTATGTTATTGATATATATATATATATCTGCAATCAATACCGGTCCATTAAAATTAACCAAGATCTTCCCCATTGATAACCGTTTACAATGAGAAAGATCGAATCTGTATAAGCATAAAAGAGAGATAACACTAATTATGGTATAGCGCCAATGGTCCGAACTCGGGAGTTTTTTTTTTTTTTTTAACCATAGCAAATAAAAAAATATATATGTATGTTGTGCCTCTTGAGATGTCGCTTTGGCCTGAGTTAGGGTTAGAGTTAGAGTTATGATTAGGCTATGGTTTAGCCTGTTCTGTTAATTCCGGTCAAATGAGCATTATGCAGCTGACATTTGACGCAAGTGTTAATCTGAGGCACAACATATATCGATATATATTACTAATCCATTAGAAGCGAAATCAACGAAATCGGAAAGATCTATTTCAGCTAGTCGTTATCGTTATAATTATTAATTTTTGAGATCTGAATATCTTATTCAAGAAATTTACTTTTAATTAAGCCATACCGATACCGATACGGGTTGTAAACAACGATACATATAAGGGAATTTCTTTACATCGATAGTCGCCATCGAGACTTATTTTTGTTGGATAATCTTTCACATAATAGTACTATAGTAACGATATAACTCGTTAATGTCAAGTTCAAAACTTAAAAAAATATCAGGTCCTATTAGTTATTCCTTTGAAAGATAAAATTTAATGTACCATTTTACATACTACCGCTATTAAATCCGTAAATAATCTCTGAGACGATTAGTTTGTGCCACTTTGGGTGTTTTAAGATTAGTTAAAACCACAAACTTGAGATCTTGTGATCAGATTTTAGAAATTTTAAGCAAATTAGAGACGCATTCTGTTTGTAAAATTATTCGAAACGGATGAGTAAGGCAAAGGTTACTCGTTATTAAGGATTATTAACCAAGTATCAGTGAATATGATCAGGATCACTTCTATAAAATTTCAGATCGTGAAAGTTATTTTGTTTCAGATCAAAAAAATTTGTATAATACGTATACGAGTTGGGCGGGTCGAAATTAAAAAAAATTTGAACCATAGTGATGCAAATTTTATTAAGCTAACAAAAAAAGTTGGGTTATCATCCACGCAGGTCTCTATGTGATAACTTCTAAAGTTTCTTCTAAAGTTTCTTGTGCATTATTCATTCAATTGTACAACCAGAAATTCATAGTTCAGTAATTGGAAAATAGAAGGATACGTCTATTTTATTATTTTAGATAAACAAAAAGACCGGTTTAATCCGATAAATATTGCGTCTCTTTTTCTCTGATTAAATGCAAGTTTGGTGAAATATAGCTTTAAGAATTAATAAGCGCATATATCAGTGCAATTAAGGTTGGTATGCATATGATGGCAAGCATTAACGTTATATAGAACTATATACATACCGATATAGATGCTTAAATGAGGAACTTGTAATTCCAGCGTCAATTTGCAATTGAAAAAAAAAAAAACCAGATATATGGATTTGGGTAAACAATTGTACAATATGTGCGCACAAGCAAAACCCGTTGCCTAGCATCTCTGCAAAAATTCTATTTATAATTTTTTTTTATTATTTTTTTTTTTTTTTTTTTTTTTTTTTTTTATGTTTATATAAATATTATATAAATATAAAAAAAAAAAAAAAAATATGTAAAATTTCTCTTAGAAAATCAATTTTTTCGTGTCTTCTTCCCCAAAGACTTTAAGTTTACGGTATGACTATTATAGTTTTTTGCTGACTTGTCTAAAAACACGAATTTGATATTATAATTTCAAATCTTGAACAAATTGTATTATATATTTACATAGTTATTTATTGAATGCAAAAACAGATATGAGTCAGAGTAGAATTTCGTTCATAGGGAGTGTTTCGTTGCTAGTGTCTTCTATGACAGGACCGGGGCTTGTTACAAGTATTTTATTCATACTTTAATGACTAGATTTGAATTTGTCCGTACGCGTTAATGCTGACTCACGGTTAACATTTACAGTTCCATTACTTTTTCAGTCTGCTGGATGGTTTATGTATGTTTTGATTCTCATATGAACATATTGAAGTTGCTTTTTTATTGCATGACACTTATCTTTTTCACTTTCGATTTTTATCAGACCACTTCTTTCTTTCATCATCGCGACTTTGTTAAGCGGTGCTGCTTCTCTGCTTTTGTGCGAATCATTGAGTGCTCAACCTGAAAACGAAAGATTCCAGGTTGATTTTGATCTTATTTCGATTTTATGTCGCGCTTAATAGTTTATTAACGATTCATGTTAATTAGAAAAAGATCGAATTTACTCGCCTTGCCTCAACGTTGATAACTAATAAATATCAACGTCGCGTTATTCAATTTGTTCTTTTTGTGACATTCGAATCCTTGATCATTTCATCAATTATAATATCTTCTCAAACTATGGATTCTTTGACGATCTCGATGTTTGGAAAAACTTGTGGAATTGGAATTTATCCAACAAAAGGTGTCTTCTGTGTGTCAGAACAAAGTGCCACAGGAAGTCCTTTCGGAAATAGCTATATGCTTTTAACTGTCGGTTACTTTGTTAGTATATTTTATTTTATTATATTATATTTTATTTCATTTTATTTTATTTCGTTTTACATTCAAATTAATTCTCATTAATATACCCTAGATTACTCTGGTAACTGTTGTTCCTCTAGGAGTTATGGATCTTGTTGATAATATTAAAGTGCAAGTTGGTGCGTTATGACTTTGCTATAAAAATCATTATTATGATTATTATTTACAAATTAATATATTTTATTGATTTTTTTTATTATTAATATATTTAATTGGATTTTTTTTTATTATCAGTATCTTTCTCTATGTTGATCTTTATAATAGTAACTTGGATTATTACTTTCATCGTTCATGGACTCCAACAAGACCTTGTTCCGTTTCTTGGTAGTGATCAAAGCCAAGTAGTTGGTACTGTCTTATACAATTATGCGTTCATAACTACTGTACCAAGTTGGATTAATGAATCGGTTTGTAACTTATTTACATAACTCCACTTTAATTACAATTATAACTATTAATATTTATTTAATATATAGGATCAAGGTATTTCAATCCGAAAATCTGTATTGTACTCTATTATTATATCCACCATTGCTTATATTTCACTGGGTGTCTTGGGAGGGATGGCATACGCGATGAGTCCAGCATCAAACATTATTGCCGTAATTAATAAATCTAATGAACGCACTGTGATCAGTCTTATTACAACATACTTGTTTCCTGTAGCTGCATTGATAACAAGTGTTCCAGTATATACGATTATTGTGCGTCTTAATTTGATGAATCATAATAATTTCAGTAAAAGTAAGTTCATAATTTTCGTAATTTAATATATTTATACATCTTAAGTAAAAATATTATGTGTTATTAATTTTTATTATTAACCTTTGTATTTGATTAATTTTGATATCAGGAACTTCTATATTATTATCAAGCGTGTTGCCTTGGATTATTATCCTTCCATTCCAAACAGGATTTTGGCTCAATTCATTTATGAATTGGACGAGTTTAATATTTTCAACTATTAGCAATTTTATTCTTCCATTTTGGCTATATTATTTGAGTGAAACTCAAAAATCTGTTAAAAATGTTGATTTGGTTAAATCAGGTATATATGATTTAATTAAAACATTTTATATTTGATATTTGCCATTCTCAATTTAAACATTCAACTTTAACGTTAATCTCCATTGTAGCAATATCAACTCCAGAAAAACTTGTACGAAATCTATCATCAATGTCTGATATCTCTATAAAAAGTGCATTGATGACTGATGAACATCCACCGCTTCCGATTGTTGTCAGTCCACCATCTCCGGGTCTTCAACCACTCGATAATCATAGTCATGATAGCATTCATCTTACTCCACATACGCCAAGTACTCCAAGACGTAGGCGTTCTTGCTCACCAAGTAGATCACGTAGTCTTTCAAGAAGTAGTTCTAAAATTGGTGTTGATAGCATCGAAGTACATCAAGTGCATTCACCTGATAGGCATATTGATGTTATTGTAATCAATACGGATGCATTATCTAATAATCAAAAATTAACTGATTCGCCAACTTTTTTAAGTGTGCCATCACCTCATTCTGACGTTGAAAATCGTGATCGTGACTTGTCATGTTCACCACCAGGTCACATGACATCTATGGCAACAGAATCTGATGCTAAAGGATATCATTTATCGGCTCCACTGTCTCTCATAGCTCGTACCACTTTTAGTCGTCGGAAATCTACATCTCGACTAACGATTGTGACAACACCAGCAATTACAATTAGTGATGACTCATGTGATAACGACGTAAATGACAATTCGAACAATTTATCAATTCATTCTTGCCATTCTAGTATAACATGTCCGCCATCACCTCTATCTATATATGAAGAAAAAATGAGTTCAAGTTTTAACGAAGCAGAGCTTGCCAGGTATACTGAACCGTTTAAGGCTTTCCCTGGATTATCATCAACGCATGGGATTTGGATTGCGAAATTTGGAGGAACAATGGCTATTTTAATGGCTTTTGGAATCCTTACCTATGACTTTGTACAGTTAGGAATGGGAACTAATGTATTTGTTAACTAATGTAATTACTAATATGTAGTTTACGTATTTTATAGAAAAAAAGTGTTGTTTGTTTAGTCATTAATGTATATATATATTGGTAGAAGCTGAATTTTACATTCAAAAAGTATTTTACATAAAATTAATTTTTGATTTCATAATCTGGCAAGATCAATTTTTGGAACAAAATTCTCTATTATCTAAATATTGATTAGAAATCATCGGTGAAATTCATCAATATGGTTTTTTTTACTTTAGGATTAGAATTTAGGATAAAGTTAGAAATTAGGATATAATACAAGTATGCACGACTAGTTTTTGGAATAGATTAGTCGCGCAACCAAAATCCAGCAGATCAACTAAAATTCAAGATCGGAATAGGCCGAAATTTACAAAATTTTATCGTTACTAATAAAGCGGTTGCCCGTGTACTGGATTCTGGTTTTGCTATAATACAGTAATATGGTTGGTATTATTGCCCAATGCTGACCTAACTCCGGCCTATTCCAACCCTAAATTTGCTCGATCCACTGAATTTTGGTTGTGCTCCCACACCAGGTAGATTAGTCATGTCACAAAAAATTGTCGGTGACGTACCTCAGATTATATTTCTGTATTCGGGCTATTAATTTTATACAAAAAATTCGTAAAAACTTTTTTGGATTCCGTATAAAATTAATATATAGCCTGAATATAGTCAGAATGGCTTTTATATCACGTCACCGACAATTTTTTGTGACCAACTAATCTACCTTCCCACACCCTTATCGGTATGGTTATGTCCGAATCCATGACTTTAGTTTTGTTATCGAATTAAATAATAAGTTCAAAACGTTCATGCATTAGATACATTCTATGCCAGATTTCGTCAATAATCGACAAAATTAAAAAGTTCATTCTTTTAACCAACCTAACCTGAATTTGACACTAATACTAAGTTTAACGCAGGCCGATATCGATCAAACGATCGGCAAAACCTAGCGTAGATTTCTTGCGGAATTGTGAAAAATAAGCATAATATAATAATTTATATAAAATCTGTCAATGTAGAAAGAAATATTTCGAGTTTGTTGTCACAAAAAGAATCAGAATCTACAAAAAGCGGCAATTGTTATAAATTATATGATTTCTGATTCTGCTATCGGTGAAGCTTCCCAGTGTTGTTCATGGACATGTCTATGGACATGAACTATCTGTTTATGAACATGTGGACATAGACAGTCCATGTCCATGTCACTGAAGCTTCCTATGTGCAATAAATATAAACACGATCCCTTAATTTATATTTACTTAAAACACGTAAAAATTTTAGACAAACTAATAAACGGTGTATATATGTCGTAGGTGTGAATAGAATTTAAGTTGATTCGGAATTTTTAAGGTTAGGATTTGGATTTTTACAGTAGTATAATTATTCCGTTCTAATTTAAGTGGATTCATCCCCACTTACAACATATATGCATTCAACCATCACTTTATTGCAAAAAATGATTGCTATACATTGCGACGAATTTATGAAATACTCTAAAGTTTAAATTAGACCACTAATAAAACAATAATGATTTTTTTGACTGAAATAACTACTATCCACAAGTGAGAGTGCGTCATTATAATAAATTTCTATGCCTAATCAAGATACGTCAAAAGTGGGGAAGATGGGTTAGCACGTGGGAAAGATGGGTTAGATCAGTGTTTTTCATGGAAATTGACATAATATGGACCGTCCATGGACATAGATAGTCCATATCTTCATGATAGACAGGTACGTACTGTACATACATGTATATGAACAACACTGGGTTAGGTGTGTTATCAATCAAGATCAGAGATTCAAAAACTTTTGCATTGATTTATTAATATGTAATTTTGTAACTAAAATTTTAAATTGAAGAAAAATACTCACATTTGGAATTAAATTTTAGCTTAATTTCATAAATTTGCCATGATGCACATTAAAAAATAAATCTATGCAGTTTTTCATTTAATATGTGAACTCTAGATCATCGATAATAACGTCACCAAAATTTAAAGAATTATCATTTTCCTTCTTTTTATCTTCACAGCATCGCTCCATTGCCTCCAAAAGATTTTCATTGGTACATAAAATAATCTTTCTATTAGAATTCGAATTCGAATTCTTTGCTTTATTCACCGCCTCATCCTTGAAACCAATATTCATAACGAATAAACCGATGGCATTTCTTGATTGATTTGTTATATGAGTGATGAAACTCTTGATCGATCATATATCTCTGTCTCTCCAGCTTGGATGAATCACAAATTTAAGCCTTTATACATTGAGTGTATATTGATGAAATCATTTTCTTAATCATATAAGACGATATTTCACGTAGTGATTGGCACGCGCGTGATCCGCGCGGAATCCCGTACGTACGTGATGCGCGAGATGCAATTTTATGCTACTAGACTACCCGATAAAATTTTGGCCACAATTCCGCAATATTCCGAAAGTAAGAAAATTTCTATCCCGGATTATTTCACGTAGTTCTTGTCAGTATCATGTATGGTTCGTTTTTCTCAGCAAACGATAAGGGAGTGCTGTTTATTACTAGTGCTCAGCACTAGTGCTTGAAGGGCACGCCAAAGTCACATGATAAAAGAAACTATAATCATTGGCTAGAAAGAATAATACTATTTCACAATAACAATAACGATAACTATTTTTGCAACGCGCGATTACTTTTTATTATTAAAAAAACAAACAAACGAAGTGATTTATCAACTAGAAATTCGAATCTGAGTTCAAAACAATAACTACAGTTGATTCTTTAGCCGACATTACATGATCGTGATTCACTTTAACTAAAATATAAAGATGTCTTGCTATGCTTGGGCAATGAATTTATAAAGCATATGATGTTTCATTACTACCTGTGTCTTGCGTAGCTCTTCATTAGCATTTAATGCCCGTGAACCTGTATTTGATTACTTTTTATATACTTTCAAATCTATGATTTTTAATAGTAAATTACGTAAATTTTCTTGCACTATAGCTTGGAACGATTTGATTGGTTACGTATTGGTCACGTGATCATAGTAGGGCATGCCTAGGGATGCAAGTTTACACTATACCGTATTACACAATACCAGTATTATACACCGAGGCAGGGTTGGCAATGGATTATGTCCATTGAAAATAAGTTTGTCAATGGAACTCAATGGACCAATATCATAATCCATTGGTCCATTGGTCCATTAG